TGTGAGATTGAGGGGCAGGACCCACACTGGCACTCTGTATTGCAGCTACCAGCACTGCCTGGACCTGCTGCTGGAGCTGGTGGCACGGGATGGGCAGCAGTGCCAGCTGATCGTGGCCAGCCACAACGAGACCTCTGTGAGCCACGCCATCCGCAGGTCGGTTACACTCCCAGCATGCACTGCTCCCTCGTGCCCGCAGTGGAAAGGAGGGGTGAAGGATGGCGGCTCGGGGGGCAGGAGCAGAGGGGCAGGGCAGAGACCCCCCCGCGGTGCCTAATCCGCGTCCCCTTACAGGATGGAGGAGCTGGGCATTGCCAAGGATGGAGGGGCCGTCTGCTTCGGGCAGCTGCTGGGCATGTGTGACCACGTCTCCCTGGCCTTGGGTACACCCCCCCTTGCTGCCCCCCCTCACAGCGCACGCCCCCCCCCACTGGCCCCCTTCATGGCGCGTGGAGACCCCCCTGCTGCCCCACCTCACAGCGTGCGGTGCACCCCGCTGCCCCCCCTCAGCGTGTGGTTACCCCCCCTCATGGTGCATGGCACTCCCACTGGCCCCTCCCACAGTGCATGGAGACACCCCCCCTCACAGTGCGCAGCACCCCCCTCCGCCCCAGCACAGTCCCCCCCCCCGCTGCACCTCCTCACAGTGTGCAGCGCCTCCCCCCCTTGCTGGCCCCCTCACAGCGTACACCCCTCCCCGCTGCCCCCTCTCACAGCGCGGCGCCCCCTGCTGACCGTCTCTCTCCTGCAGGCCAGGCTGGATACGCCATCTACAAGTCCATCCCGTACGGGGCGGTGGAGGACGTGCTGCCGTACCTGGTGCGCCGGGCCCAGGAGAACCAGAGCGTGCTGCAGGGCATCCGCAAAGAGCGGGACCTCCTCCGCCGCGAGCTCTGGAGGCGCCTGCTGCACCGCCCCTGAGGAACCCAGGCGTCCGAGAACCGCTGCCCCCCACAACCCGTCCTGCTCTTTGCCCCGAGACATTGTGGGAGTGAGCCAGCCGGGCCCCTCCCAGCCTGCCCTGAGGGATTCTGGGAGGGGGAATTGTAGCCTGACTTACCCAGGCAGGCTCGGGTGTGGGGGAGACACTTCCTACTCCCAGCATCCCCCTGGAAGCGAGGACCCCCAATGATTCTGCCACTGCCTGCCCAATAAAACCACATGCACCTCACCCCAGGGGTCCCCCTTCCAGAGCCGTGTTTATTGACAATGGGGGGCCCTGGGCTGGGGGGCTGGGTAGTGATGCCGAGCGAAGCTCCAACCCATTGAAGGGGGAAACCGTCTCAGGCCGTCAGGAGGTGAACCCAGGCGTCCTGGCTCCCGTCAGGAGGTGAACCCAGCCGTCCTGGCTCCCAGCACTGCGGCCGCCCCGAGCTGCAGGGGGCTGCTAGGCACTGCTGGGCCCAGGGCGAGGTGTGGGGCAGGGCTCAGTGACCGACGGGTGCGGTGTGAGATGTTTGCTGGTTGGGGGTGGCTCCTGGAGGATGTCTGGTAGGTCCCCCCTCCTTGTGCAGGTGGGGCCGGTGTCCTCCAACAGGGCCTCTTCCCGGGCTGGGTCCACCTCCCGTGGGGGGCTGGGTCCCTGGTGCCTCTGCCCCTGTCAGAGCAACACAGAGAGGGTCATGGCCCTGCCTTCCCTGGCTGAGAGTGACAGCTGGGGCCGTTCCCCTCCAGGGTGCGCCAGCTCCCATCCGGCCCCAGGGCAGGGACTGGCAGACTATGGGGACAGGGCATGGGACACAGAGCCGTTCCCCTCCAGGGGGTGCCAACTCCCATCTGGCCATGGGGCAGGGACTGGCTGGTTCGAGGGATGGAATACGGGGCCGTTCCCCTCCAGGGGGTGCCAGCTCCCATCCGGCCCCAGGGCAGGGACTGGCTGGCTCAGGGGTGGGGTGGGAATGGAATATGGCCCCATCTCAGTACCCCTCCCCCCTGCCCACTATCTCACCTTCCTCCTCTGGTGCCCAGCCTGTAGGAAGGAAAGACAATGCCAGGGTGAGCGTGTGGGGCCTCCAGAGTGCCGTGGGAGTGAGTCAGGAGTGGGGCAGGCGCTTACCCAGAGTGCTCCGCTCCCCAGCACTACCACCGCCACGCCCATGCCAATGCCAACGCCAACACCGGCCCAGCCCTTCCATGCTGGCTGCGGCTCTGGGGAGACAAAACCATGGCCAAGTGAGTGGCAGGGTCTGGCCTAGCAGGCCAGGCTGCCTCGACCCCCTTCTGCCCCCCAGAGTCCTGGGTCCTCACCTTCCAGGCCAAGCGTCCCGGTGAGGTTCTGCTGGTGGAGGGTGGTGTTGACGATGCAGGTGTAGCTGGCGGTGGGGGAGCAGGGCACGTCAGCTGTGTGGGCGGCGCTATACAGCCCTTGGGGGTCCTTGGCAGCTCGTGTCCCAGCCCCGTAGTCCCTGCCAGTGCTGTCGTGGATGGTGACGGTGGCGAGGGGATAGCCGCCCTCTGCGAGGCAGGTGAGTGTCACGTTCTGCAGGGAGGGGGAGCAGAGCTGGGGCTGGAGCCAGGATAGATGATAGAGGCCTGTGGGAAAGAGCCACGTGAAAAGGACGGGGTTTGAGAGATCTTGGCGGCACTGCGGAGAGTTCCCTGAGAACATCCACTCAGTGTCCAGCCGCAGTCAAAACAGCGACCAGGGTTGGGCATCATTAGGAAAGGGAGAGATAATAAGACAGGGGACCTCCACCTCCAACCAGACAGACTGGAATCGGAACAGGGACAGAAAAGGGAACAGAAATGATTAGGGGCATGGAACGGCTGCCGTGTGAGGAGAGATTAATAAGACTGGCAAAGAGACGGTTAAGGGGAGATATGATTGAGGTCTATAAAATCCTAACTGGTGTGGAGAAAGTGGATAAGGAAGTGTTGTTTACTCCTCCTCATAACACAAGAACTAGGGGTCACCCAATGACATTAGTTGGCAGCAGGTTTAAAACAAACAAAGGAAGTATTTCTTCCCCCAACGCCCGGACAGCCTGGGGAACTCGGTGCCAGGGGGATGTTGTGAAGGCCAAGGCCATAACAGGGCTCAACAAAGAACTAGCCAAGTTCCTGGAGGATGGGTCAGGACACAACCCCCCGCTCTGAGCGGCCGTAGCGTCTGCCTGCTGGAAGCAGGGACGGGAGTGGGCGAGAGGATGGACACACGATAACTGCCTGTGCTGTTCATTTCTCTGAAGCGCCTGGCATTGGCCACGGTCACAGAGGATACTGGGCTCGATGGACCATTGATCTGACCTGTGGCTGTTCCTATACGCGTTGTATTGAAGACAGCGCCCCCGAGAGGGGAAAGACCCCGTGCTCCATTTCCCACTCCTGTGAGCCAGCCAGGCCCCCGACATGGGGCCAGATCAGAGCCGGCACCCCTGAGAGGGGCCATTCCCCACCCGTCGAGGGGCCAGGCCCTGTGTCCCATTTACCTATGAGCCGTAGCTCCGTCTCCGCTACGCCCATGCCGCGGTTGCTCTTTACCCGGCACCGGTACCTGCCCTCGTCAGCCAGCGTCACGTTGTGTAGCCGGAGGGCCCCGTCCCCGCGCCCGGGCTGCCCAGCTGGGACAGTGGTCCGGCCCTGATAGGCACGGTCGTCATGTGAGGCCAGGTGTTCCCCTCTGTTGTAGGTGTAGACGTTCCTCTCGCTGTCCGGTCCCAGCCGGGTCCAGTACAGGATCAGGTCCGCCGCGGGCGGGTAGGTGCAGTTCAGCAGTGCTGTGCCCCCCAGCACGGCCTCAGAGGTCGCGGGCAGCTGCACAGGTAGCTCGTCTGTAATGAGAGAGGCGAGGGCTGCGTCGGGGGTCCCGACGGTGGGGGGAGGGGGGGAGGGCTGCGTCCGGGGGTCCCCACGGCTGAGCGAGGGGGTGAGGGCTGCGTCCGGGGATCCCCACAGCGGGGTGAGCTGGGGAGAGCTGTGTTCGGGGGTCCCCACAGCTGAGCGAGGGGGTGAGGGCTGTGCCCGGGTGTGAGCAGGGGAGGGCTGCGTCCAGAGGTCCCCCCTGTGGGGCAAGGGGGTGAGGGCTGCGTCCGGGGATCCCCACAGCGGGGTGAGCTGGGGAGAGCTGTGTTCGGGGGTCCCCACAGCTGAGCGAGGGAGTGAGGGCTGCGTCCGGGGATCCCCACAGCGGGGCGAGCGGGGAAGGCTGCGTCTGGGGGTCCCCACAGCTGAGCGAGGGGGTGAGGGCTGTGTCCGGGTGTGAGCGGGGGAGGACTACGGCGGGGGGATTGGGGGAGGGCTGCGTCCAGAGGTCCCCCCTGTGGGGCGAGGGGGTGAGGGCTGTGTCCGGGGTCCCCACGGCTGAGCGAGGGGGTGAGGGCTGCGTCCGGGGATCCCCACAGCGGGGCGAGCGGGGGAAGGCTGCGTCCGGGGATCCCCACAGCTGAGCGAGGGGGTGAGGGCTGCATCCGGGGGTCCCCATGGCTGAGTGAGGGGGTGAGGGCTGTGTCTGGGGGTCCCCACGGCTGAGCGAGGGGGTGAGGGCTGCATCCGGGGGTCCCCATGGCTGAGCGAGGGGGTGAGGGCTGC